TGAGGTATTCTATAAATGTCAGTTAGATCCAGCTGATTGATGATACGTAATATTAAGTTTGCCTATATCCTAACTGATTTTCTGAGGAATGTTGAAGTCTCCAACTATAATAGTGGATTTGTCTGGTTTTCCTTGAAGTTCCATCAGTTTTTGCCTCACGTATTTTGACACTCTGTTGTTAGGCACGTACACGTTAAGGATTGTTCTATCTTCTTGGAGAATTGACCCTTTTATTGTTATTTAATGGTCCTCTTTCTGATAATTTTCTTTGCTCTGAAATCTGCTTTGTGTGAAATTAATACAGCTACTACACTTTTCTTTTGATTAAATATTAGCATGGTATATCTTTGTCCATCCTGTTACTTTAATCTATCTGTGTCTTTATATTTAAAGTGGATTTCTTGTAGACAACATATAGTTGGGTTTGGTTTTTTATCCACTCTGATAATTTCTGTCTTTTAATTGGTATATTTAGACCATTCACATTTAAAGTGATTATTAATATAATTGAATTAATGCTTATCATATTTGTAACTGTTTTCTATTTGTTGCCCTTGTTCTTTCTTTCTTTTTCTGTGCCTTCTGTTTTCTCTTCATTTCTCATTTCTCTCTATGGCTGGATAATATTCCATTGTATGTATATAACACATTTTGTTTATCCATTCATTTGTTGGTAGACACGGGTTGTTTCCACCATTTGTCTATTGTGAATAATGCCGCACTGAACATTGGTGTACATGTATCTGTTTGAGTCCCTGCTTTCAGTTCTTTTGGGCATATACTGAGGAGTGGACTTGCTGGGTCGTATAGTAATTCTGTGTCTAACTTTTTGAGGAACCGCCAGACTTTTTCACAGCAGCTCTACCATTTTACAAACTCACCAACAATGGATGAGTGTCCCAGTTTCTCCACATCCTTGTCAACACTTGTTATTTTCTGTTTTGTTGATAATAACCATTCTGGTGGGTGTGAATTAATATCTCATTGTGGTTTTGATTTGCATTTCCCTAATGGCTAATGATGTTGAACATCTTTTTATGTGCGATTGGTCGTTTGTATGTCTTCTTTGGAGAAAAATTCATTGAAGTCTTTTGCCCATTTTTTGTTGAATTGTTTGCCTTTTTGTTGTTGAGTTGTAGGAGTTCTTTATATATTCTAGATATTAAACTCTTATCAGATTCATGATTCCCAAATATTTTCTACCATTCTTTAGGTTGTCTTTTCACTGTCTTAGTGTCATTTGATGCACAGAAGTTTTTAATTTTGATGCAGTCCAATTGTTTTCCTTTTGTTGCTCTTGCTTTTGGTGTTATATCTAAGAGTTTATTGTCAAAATTAGATCCTGAACATTTACTCCTATATTCTAAGAATTTTTTTGTTTCAGCTCTTTAATATTTAGTTTGTTACATTTTGAGTTAATTTTCATATATGATGTGAGGTAGGCATCCAACTTTGTTCTCTTGCAGGTGGAGATCTAGTTGTCCCAGCATCATTTGTTGAACAGACTATTGTTTCCTCATTGAATGAACCTGGCCCCCTTATTGAAAATCAATTGGCCGTAGATACATGGGCTTATTTCTAAACTCTGAGTTCTATTCCATTGGTCTATATGTCTGTCCTTACGCCAGTACCTACCACACTGTTTTGATTACTGTAACTTTTTGTAGTAATTTTGAAATTGGGAAGTGTGAGTCCTCCTACTTTGTTCTTCTGTTTTCAAGATTGTTTTAGCTGTCTGAGGCTCCTTGCAATTCCATTGCAATTTGAGGATTGGCATTTCCATTTCTGCAAAAAAAGTCTTTTGGAATTTTGATAGGGTTTGCATTGACTCTGTAGATCACTCTGGGTAGAACTGACATCTTAACAATGTTAATTCTTCCAGTCCATGTACAGGGAATATCTTCCCATTTGTTTAGGCCTTTTTAAAATTTCTTTCAGCAATGTTTTATAGTTTTCAGTGTACACATCTTTCACCACCTCCCTGGTTAAATTTATTCCTTGGTATTGTATTCTTTTAAATACTATTGTAAATGGAATTGTTTTCTTAATTTCCTTTTCAGATTGCTCATTGCTGGTGTATTGAAACACAACTGATTTTTGTGTGTTGATCTTGTAATCTGCAACATTGCTATATTCATTCATTAGCTCTAGTAGCTTTCTTGTGATTGTTTGAAATTTTCCAAATATAGGATCATGTTATCTGTAGACAGAGATAGTTTTACTTCTTCAAGATTTGGATGTTCTTCATTTTTGAAGAATAATTTCAGTCGGTACAGAATTTTAGGTTGATTTTTTTCTTTCAACATTTTAAATATTTTACTCCATTCTCTTCTTGCTTGCATGGTTTCTGAGGAGAAGTCTAATGCAATTCTTGTCTTTCTGCTTTGTAGATAAGGTGTTTCTTTCCTCTGGCTTCTTTCAAGATTTTTTCTTTGTCTTTGATTATCTGCAGTTTGAATATGATGTACATTAGTGTAGCTTTTTGGGGTATTTATCCTGCTTGGTATTCTCTGAGCTTCCTGGACCTTTGTTTTTTTTTTGTCTGTTAACGATTTTGGAAAACTCTCAGCCATTGTTAAACCTCAAATGTTTCTTCTGTTTCTTTCTCTCTTTCCCTTCTTGTAGTCCCATTAAGCATATGTTACACCTTTTGTAATTGTCCTACAATTCTTGGATATTCTGTTCCTATTCCTCTCCCCACCCCCCCCCAGTCTTTTTTGTCTGTTGCTTTTAGTTTGGAGAGTTTCTATTGACATATCTTCAAAGTTCACTGATTATTTCTGTGGCCATGTCTGGTCTACTGATACGCCTATCAAAGGCATTTTTCATCTTTTACAAAAGTGCTTTTGATTTCTAGCTTTTCTTTGTGATTCTTTCTTAGTCTCCATCTCTCTGCTTACATTACCCACCAGTTTTCGCATGTAGTCCACTCTTCTCCATTAGAGCCATTAGCATATCATAGTTATCTTAAATCCTGATCTGATAAATACAACATCTCTGATATATCTGAGTTTGTTTCTGATGCTTGCCCTATCTCTTTAAACTGTGTTTTTTGCCTTTTAGCATGCCTTGTAATTGATGTTATCAGGTAACAGGAAATAAAGTTCTTTCAGTTGGAATCCTCTGTAAATCCCTGTTAATGTTGATGGTGGTGGTAAGGTGTGGGGGAGGGGGAGATTCTATAATCCTATGATTAGGTCTCAGTCTCTTAGTGAGCCTGATCCCCTGGGTTGTATCTTTTCTGAGTGCTTCTCACCTTTTTTACCCCTCACCCCTTACTTAGGTGAAACAGGAACGGGAAGGCTAGAGGGAGCTGGAGTTGGATATTTCCCTGCTTCCATGTTGGTTAGGCTCTGATAAAACCCATGTTGTTTAGGCTCTTTTTTTTTTTTATAACTGTTGTGCTTTAAGTGAAAGTTTACAATTCAAGTTAGCCTCTCATACGAAAATTCATACATACATTGTTATGTGACCCTAGTTGCTCTCCCTTTACTGTGACAGCACACTCCTTCTTTCTACCCCAGATGTCCCGTGTCCATTCAACCAGCTCCTGTCCCTCTGCCTTTTCATCTCACCTCTGGACAGGAGCTACCCATTTAGTCTTATGTATCTACTTGAGCTAAGAAGCACAATCTTCACTAGTATCATTTTATGTCCCAAAGTTGGTTAGGCTCTTGTAAAGTAGTTTCCCATGAGGGCAGGCTGTTGAGGACAACAGAGCACTACTTCAAAATGGTTACTTTCCCCTTCCTCTGCCAGGAACATGAGTGGACTTTTCTCTGACCTTCACAGTGGGAACCTGGTAGGGCTTCTGGAAGTGAAACTCTTTAAAGTGTGCCTCCCTACTCCCCGCCCCAAGGCTCTGCCTCCAGGAGTTTTTATGTCTTGAGTTAGTCTCTCAGTTCCCAGCGGTTAGTCAGTTACCCTTTTAAGTGCTCTGCCTGATGCTGGGTCCAGCTGCAGCAGTTTCTGCTTCCGTCAGGCGCAATTCTCTGTATCAGCCTATCTTTCTCTCCAGTTTTCTGAGTGACAGCTTGCCTTGTGACCTTAGTTCTCTGCTGGATCAAATATGAGTTGTTGATTTTCAGATTTTCAGTTTCTTCTTGTTGTGAGGGCCAGATAAAGACTTCCCAACTCTTTATCTGCTGGACTGAAAAACCAGAAGTCTCCCTCCCCTTTGCTTTTTGTCCCTTTATCCTGTTTCATTGTTTTGAGAGTACTTCACATAATTTAAAATTATGTACTTCAGTATTGCTCTCTCTCACATGACTGTAAGCTCAGTGAGGACAGAATGTTGACGCTTTGCCCTCCGCTTGTCTCCGCAGCACTTAGAGTTGCCCTGAAGAGTGAGGAAGGAGTGTGCAGTGGCCTTGCCAGCCGGTATGCAGGCCCGGCCCCAAGGAGCAGGGTGTGTGTATATGTGTGTTTATAGCCTCCTTCAGGTGCATCCCTGCACCCTCCGCAGCTGCGTGGTGCACACACAGATTACCGCTCTTCCCTGATTTCTTAGAAATGTCCATCCTGGGACAGAAGACTCGACTTTCTTGCTATGTGACAGTCCAGGGCCTTTGCATGCAGCAGACATTCGAGTCCTGTAGCTCTCCAAAGGAAGGTGCTCAGTTTCCCAATACAGACAGGTCAGGAGTGTGGCAAGGTGGCCTCTGCAGGGAAGCTGGTGTTCCCAGCCACCCTTGTAATGCCTGAAGCCAGGAAAGGGGGCCTCACATGGAGCTCTCTGTTTTGTAACGTCTTTCCTAAATGATGAGTCCCTTTTCGGCTTTTGATGTTAGTACAAATGTATTCTTGATTTTAAACTGTTTTATTGCTAACATTTATCCTGAGAGATTGTCAAATTCAAGGAATCTAGGAATTAGCATGCCTTTTCCACGTAATCCCTTTGAGTTCTCGCCAGTGCTGAGTACGTGGGGGTTGGGGCTCATGGTGTCATACCTGCCGAGACTTTTGTAAGAGCCGGTGGTTTCCCTCTCTCCACGTGACAGATGGTAGCAGCTTGTTCGACTCCATGGCCAGCGGAATGCGTCTGATCATCAGCTGCATCTCCTCCTTCCTCATCCTGTCGCTGCTGCTCTTCATGGTCCATCGGCTGCGCCAGAGGCGCCGAGAGCGCATTGAGTCCCTGATTGGAGCAAACTGTGAGTGTCCGCTGATCTGTCTGACGACCGTGGCGCAGCCCGGGGTTTCCCCTTACCTCAGGTTTTGCTCGCTCCAAAACTGAGTCTGAGGTCAGGTGTGGTGCAGATGGTTCCTTTAGGAGGGGGTCAGAGGGAGTGGGCACAGGGAGGGTCAGGGAGAAGGAGCTGCCCATAGGGGCTTGGCCATGGTGCAGGCTATTGTGGTGCGACCCTAGGAGTGTGTGGGGCCCACCTCAGCACAGCCTTTGAAGGTGGGACTCCATTCCCGTGGTTACAGGCACCCCGGGGCATTGCACCCCCCTACCCTACCCTGCACTGCTCCTGGACTGGGTGCGCCTCTGGAGAAGCAGACACATGGCCCTTGAGGAATGGCCCAGGGGGCTGAAATTTGAGACGGCAGAGGCCGTGTGGGGGTCATAGGAGCAGTGCCAGCTGCTCCCTGGCCGTTGCCTTCCCCTTTGTCCTCCAAGCCTCACAGGCAGGAGGGCAGCAGCCATACTCCAGCTGGTGATTTTATCTCGTGACAGCCTGAGCAGTGAATGTGGGCTCCTTGCCAGGAGGCAGAGCCTGCCTGAGAGAGAACAGCAGAAACTGGTTGCTGCTAAGCAGTCGAGACAGTGTGGTTCGTCGTCCTCAGGACAAGCTCTTCAGCAGAGCCCCAAGCCCAGGAGGTGCCTCCGCAGAGGCCAGGTCCCCAGTCCTGCACATGCCCTCATAGGGGGCAGAGGGTACATGGTAGAGATGGGCAGGTGGGCAGGTGGGTGTGGGGCTCAGGACCAAGGAGGCCAGAGTGCTGGTGAAGGGAGACTGACTGTGGCTGTTAGGGGATGCCTCTCAGGCACCCCAGTTGGGTTCAAAGACCCCTTGTCACCGTGTCGTGCTCCCTCACCCGTGGGCCAGGAAGGCGCTCCTGGGAAGGCTTTCCAGTTCTCCCTGAACCTTCCTTAGTGCTCACAGGGCTACAGGTGGGCAGACCCCCAGAGGTCATTGGGTTTAGGCACCCAGGGGCATGTTAGCAGGGGAGCAGTGTGGTGAGGGCACTGGGGGGCAGTAAGCAGCCCTGAGTGGGGTCTGGCAGTAGAACTGACCGACTTCAGTGCTGCCTTGGATGGGTATAGGGTAGGAACTGCAAGGAAGCCCAGCACCGTCACTGAAGGGGCAGGCCTGGGGCGGGGACACCTGGCCCACTAGGCTCTCAAGTGGCATGCAGACTGCTGCCGCCACCCAGGGATGCCAGCCCTGGGCCTGTGTGAGACATGCGGCTGTGTCTTGTCTCCCACTTTTGATTGACAGTGCACCACTTCAACCTCGGCCGGAGGATCCCTGGCTTCGACTATGGCCCTGACGGGTTCGGGACAGGGCTCACGCCACTCCATCTCTCAGACGACGGGGAAGGTGGGACTTTCCACTTCCATGATCCTCCACCACCCTACACAGCTTACAAGTACCCAGATATCGACCAGCCCGACGACCCGCCACCGCCCTATGAAGCCTCCATCAACCCAGACAGCATGTTTTATGACCCTGCAGGTACCTGCCCATACCCAAGGGAGAGGGCACTGACTCATCTCACCCTTCTGCACGCATGCCAAAGGCTCAGGGGTCCCTGCAGCTCCAGAGGGCTGTAATCCCCTCCCCCGCACTTCTTTCTGTCCTCGTGCCTTCTCTTTGGTTTTCCCTTTAAAGTGGCACTATCACTTGTGCAATGAGCAGACCCTTCCCAGGGCCGCAGGCACCATCACCTGTGCTCTAAGCGAAGGTCAAGTCCCACCTTCATTGCTAACCATGTGGTCAGGATCAGCATGAATGAGATTCCCAAAGGATGGAAATGGATCCAGCCCTCACCTTCCCACTTCTTCATCCTTGTTCCCAGCCGCCCACACAACACTCTCCCTCTCAGCCCCAGCCACCCAGAGCTGGACCAGAGCTCACACATTAGAAGGATACCTGCTTTCAGATGCCAGATAGGCAGACACCAGCCCCTGCTGGCACTCATTGCCCCTTTGGTTTCGTTAATTTGCTGGAATGACTCACAGAATTCACAGAGAGCATACCATACTTACTACAGATTTATTACAACCGAAAAGGATACAGAGACCCATACAGTGAGGTCTGGGAGGGGTCACAGCATGAAGCTTCCATGTCCCAAAGGGACACACTACTGTCCTGAGAGGAGATTTTCACTCTTAGCAACCAGGAAGCTTTATGTGGGGCTCAGGGCCTCATGCAGCTTAGTGGGCACCAGCCCCCAGGTGTTCCCTCTTGGTCTGGTCAGCCCCCACTCAGTAGCTTCAGATGTTGGTACCAGCTTGAAAGAACTGAGAACAAAGACCAAATGGCTTTCTGCAAGGTGATTCCAACACCTCACGACCTGTCCGTGAGCAAGCCCTTCCTAGGGCTGCAGGCGCACCACCTGTCAGCAGGCTCCTCCAAGGGTTACACATGCAGGTGAACGGCTGGAAGTCATGCAGAAGGGGCCTGGCGATGCTCACTGCCAAGCCCTGGTCTCTCTGCCCCTCACCTGCCCTGGCATTTGGTGCGGAGGGCTCCAGTGGGGCCAGGGACTACCTCTTCCTCCCCATCTTGAGCAACTGTTAGCTGCGCAGCCTTTGTGGACACCCCCTCCAACCAGGCTCTGTGGACAGTGGGGAACAGGGTGATGGTGGTTGAGGGGGAGGCTGCTCAGAGCCTCCCAGCCAGGGCTGCAGGGGCTAGGCCCACCCAGAGCCAGGTGCCAGGAGCTGACCACTGGGATGTAAAGAAGTGTGTGCTCTGGTGAGTGAAGAGACACCACCACGCCAGGCGCCGGGGCAGGAGGCAGCTCCATGAAGTGGAAGAAAGAGCTAATGCTACCGTGTTGGGCTGATTATGTGAGTCCATTTACCCATCTGAATACTGGGGAGAAGAGTTCCTCCCAGGACTGGTCTGCAAAGAAGAAATGTCAGGTGTCTTACTCACTGGCCTATCCCTGGTGTGCAGCGTGGGGCATCACAGCCCATGTTCCCTTTGCTTTGTGCCCTGTTATGCACACATGCGCACGAGCTCACACGCTGCAGTGTGATTGCTAGCAGTGCCCTGCCCTGGTGGCCATTCCCTGTATCCCACACACCTCATCTGTGATGGCACATGCTGCCGGGGGAATGGTCTTAGTCACATGTTTCTGTTTGATTGGCCAGCACAGCTCACCTGTGGTCTGGGGAAATAGGAAAGACTTGGATTTGACCCCTGCCCTAGGGACATAGACGAAGACAGTGTCAAAGACAGCCTAGCAATAGGAACTGGCATGAATGGAGTGAGTGGCCTGCCACAGGACCCTTGTTAGATCAGACCTTTCTACGGACACCCACGTGGCTTGCCAAGGCCCTGCCTTCTCTGGCCCGACTCCCACTCACGCACACATTCCAGCCACATTTCTTGGCCAGGGGGGTGTGCAGTCTGTCCCACCTGCCCTGCATGTTCTCCCTCCAGCCCTAGCCCAGGAGCTTCAGAGCCTGTATCAACTGCCACATCTCGGACCCCCTCAGTGTGAGTTAGTTTACTCTCTTGTCCCCCTTGGCCTTGGTGACTCCATCAGTGCGTCTTCCTGCACACATACACTGCGATGGCAGGAACTGTGTTTGCCCTACTCATGCTGTCCCCTGCATCTCACACGTACTGGGTGCTCAGCCATGGAGAGGCAGGTGGCCACTCTGAGGGGTGTGTCCTGCAGGGCCCATTGTGGAGCAGGCCCTCCCTGGGCTTCAGCGCTTCAGATGAGCTTCCCACCTCACCCAGCAGCAGAGGGAGCATTTGGGCAGGAGTATCCTCAGGCTCTGGCCAGTCCATCTCGCCTCCCCTGTGCCAGGCCCCCGGCCCTACCTCTGACACCCCCCACCCCTGTCTCCCCCTGCAGACGATGATGCCTTTGAGCCAGCAGAAGCCAGCCCACCAGTCCCGGGGAACAGCAGCAGTGATGGGGCTTTGCCCCAGCACCTGGAGCAGCCTCTGCCCTCTGTGGGGGCCCCTCTGACAGACCTGGAAGACTCGGCCGACAGCAGCAGTGCCCTGCTAGTGCCCCCTGACCCCACCCAGAATGAGAGTGCCCCGGTTGCAGAGGCGCTGCTAGGGGGCGGCCTGCATAGCCGCAGTTCTGTCAACACCATGGTGTAGAGGACCGCCCAGCCACCCCCGAAGGCTGTGAACATCGTTTGCTGTCAAGAAAACACGAACCCCCGTGGGAGACTTGCAGGGCCCCTGGGCTTAGCCTGGACCCAGCTGCACTGCTGCCGTACCACCCAAATGTGCGTGCCCACACACGCGTGTGTGTACATAGACTGTGCTGGCCTCTCGGGGAGCAAGGACATGCCACCAAGAGTCCTTGAGGGCTTCACAAACATGCATAGCTTTGGGTCACTGTCTTTTTCTTTTTAAATGGCAGAAGAAGAAGTTTGCTCAAACCACACGTTCCAGCGGTAGGGAACAAAAGGCCGTGGGGGCCATGGCTCTGGAGCCAAACCAAACATGTCTTTGGTGAGCTTGCTTCTCCAGCGTGCCATCCAGAGGAGCAGGTCACCAGCCCCAGAACAGAGCCTGGGCAGCTGCAGGGGCCTCCCAAGACACTGCTGGGCCCAGAAGGGCAGTTCCAGGTGCTGGGGTTGGCTGCCAGCATTGCTTGGGCAGTGGGTCTGCATCAGGGCAGGCAGTCTTTGAGGGCGCTACGATGGCTGCTTGGAGGATGGTCCGGTGACCCTGCCCTGGGCTGGAGGCTGGCCTGGGGCTCCAGTACCCAAGACTCTGAGAAGGGAGCATGGAAGGAAGGCAAACACTCTGCCCACCTGCCTGCTCACCAGGCATTGCTGTGTCTCTCTTCCCTCTCCCCGCTCCCCTGAGGCTCTGCAATTTTGCTGAGGCCCTGGGCTGTGCTTGGGAGGTACTGGTCCTGGACTCTCTGCGGAGGATCAGGCCCAAGCTGACTCCTATCTGCTACACTCTAGAGCCCTGCCTCCTGTTGGCTTGGCCCTGGGCTTGACCTCCCCCCACTCACCTTATTTGTGCCATAAAGGGTTGTGTCTTGGGGGGAGGGTGGCTTAAATGAACATCCTGGGCTGTTCCCACCTCCTGAAAGTCCCTTTTCTTGCACACCCCCACAACAGCTGGAGCGAAGTGCCTGATGGCCGCTCGCACACACACCCCCCAGCCTTCCTCGACAGCACCAGGCAGTGACCTGAGGGTGGGCTCTAGCATTTCTGAGATTGGAGATGAAGCGGGTTCTGTGCGATTTTTAGCACATCCTTACCTTTTCTACATTGAATGTCTGGACGTTTTCTTTGTGTGTGCGCGTGTCTGTGTGTGTGCGTGTGCATACAGGTGGTGGCGGTAAATGGGAGCTTGAGTGGGGCTGCTCCTGGTGGGTGTTGGACCTACATGGGCACTGGAATGGGAGTCCACAGGACCCTTGTTCCTTGTTTCGCTTGCCGTCTTCCCAGACCAGTATGAGCAGTGACAGGGAGGCTTCCCTGAAGAGTGCAGGCTGGGGATCTGTGGTGACAGGCCTCTGTGGCCCAGTCCAGTTCCAGGCATGTTCTCTCACTCTGGTAGGCCATTTTTCCTTCCAATATGGAATGATTTCCAAGGGTTGCCCCAGACCTGGTGGTCGGTCCCCAAAGCTGGCTTGAGGTATGAGCTGTGGCTGTTGAGCTGGCCTGTCCTGGTGCGGCCGACCATCCATGGGCCAATCTGCCTTTGTGAACTGTGCCTCGTATCCATGCTGGCGCCAAAGACAGCAAGAACCTTGTGTGCTATGCCAGGAAGCCGCGTTGCAGAGCAGTTGTCACAGTCTGCTGCTGCTGACAAGGGTCCTGAGCGTGCCTGCTTTGGAGGGACCACCCAATGGCCCCACGGGGACCTCACCCAGGCTTGAGAGCCCGCACAGAGGCAGTGTGGCTGGCCAGAGCTGTGGGGCTGGGAAGTTTCCTTCTGGAACCCGAAAGACTGTTGGGCCAGTCAGTTGCGTAGGAGTCCATGAGGACAGGGTGGCCTGTAGCAGGCCCTGGGGGTGTGGAAGTGGGCTTATCTATGCTGGGTTCCCTCCCAGAGTTACCCAGTGGCTCTCTTCCTCCTCACCAGCCCCCACCCAGGTGCTCGTACAACCGCTGGGTGCCCCATCATCGGCACCCGGGTCTGTCCCAGAGCCCTGCCCTCTGCTGGAGGGCAACTGTGAGGAGAGCACGGAGGTTTGCCGTGGGCCCTCATCTCTTCCCATTGGCCATCCCTTTGCAAGACAGGCTTTTACTCCACCATCTGACGAATCCCTGAGGCCAGCCCTTACTGAAATTTGTGTTCCCTGTGAGATGGGGGCCCCAAAGCTCTTGGGAGGGCTTCCTCCGCCAGGGACTTGCCTGGCCACAGCATCTGAGATCAGGTGCCCTCTGACCTGCCTGCGGATCTGGAATTTGATACTGTACATTGTCTCAATGCCTGTTTTGTATGTTTTCCTTTCACTAAGGGTTTTTAGTTTGGGTTTATTTTTGGTTGGGTTGGCACTAATCCTTTTCTTAAGATGATGTGAAAACCGTTTCATCCAAATGCCAAATAAATTCGTGTTCTGAAAGAGGCTTGGTCGGTCCTTGGTGTGACCCAAACCCCATAACTGCCACAGGCTGAGGTGGGGGTTGGCTGGGGCACCCACCTTCCAGCAGGACTCGTAGGGTTTGCAGCTTTTGCAGGCATCCAGCAGACCCCATGAGGCCACTGGCCTAAGGACCAAGTCGTGAGGGTGGTCGATTCTGTCCCCTCACCCTAGCGTCAAACCCTGCTCAGGTGCTGGCTGCTTGACAAAGAAGGATCCTGAGTGCCGCTGACTTGCTCCGGGTCCACTAAACGGCAGGCGGGAAAGGGCTGGCCATCTGCGCATATGTCATAGGCCCCGGCAGGGGAGGGACTCGGAGCTGGACCCCCAGCCCCATTTCCTCTAGGCTGCCCCTTGCCATCCAGGTCGCTGTTAGCAGCCCCCCTCCCTGCAGGCCATGCTCTGCACCCCAGGCTAGGAGCCAGGTCCCTCCGGGTCCCCCTGCGAACCTGTCCTAAGTCCCCAGTGGGGCATCTCTAGGTCTCAGAGAGTCGGGAGCTGCCTGCTCTGCCCGGCGGGGTTGAGCAAATCCTCTGCCTTTCAGGCAAGTCCTGAAGGTCAGTATTCCCGGAGAGGAACCGCCCCAAGGGGCGGGCCTGCGGGGCCGGCTTCTGCGACACCGAGACTGGGCGTAGACCCCCCGGCCGCGCTCGGCCGCCAGGTGTCTGCAGCTGTGAACTCCTCTGCTGGTGACCTTGGCATGTCACTCCTGGTTCCCAGTCTCTGTCTCCTCATCTATAAATGGAGATGATAATAAGACCCCTCAGAGGATTTACTGACAGGATCGTGTATCCCAGCTTCGCTCCAGAAAACGCCAGCGCTCGCTGCCGGCTCGCAGCGTGGCGCCGGACCCAGCCTCCGCCTTCCTCGTGGGGGTCCTGCCGGCGCCCCACATCGGACCCTCTGGGAGCCGGTCCAGCGCCCCGGGACTCACCACGCCCCTAGCCCATCCCACCCCCGCTCATGACTGCAGCCGCGTCGCCGCTTCCGTGGTGCTCCACTGGCTCCGCGCCACTGCCGGGTCCTGCGGAGCCACTGCCGCTGCCTCCACCATGTGGGCCGCGGGCTTCGTCTTTCCCTTCCTCGCGGTGCGGCTGGTCGCGCACACAGACTCGGAGGGTGAGCTCGGGGACCCTGCCCAGCCAGCCTCGAGTCTGCTCGCCTTGCTGCCTTAGGTCCTGCAGCTGGGGGGTATCTTTGGGGAGTTGATGCTGGAGCTGGCTCGACAGCACCGCGGGCTGGGCGCTGGCTTCCCCTGCCCGCCCCGCGCCCCCATGCTTGGACCGGCAGACTGGGATGGGACTGAGAAAGAGAGCCCACGGGGCTCGGTCTCAGCTTGGTCCTTGCAGGAGCCTGGTGCTACGACTCCCAGGACCCAAAGTGTGGTGAGGACAGCTTCCTGGGAGGGTGTATGGGAGCCGTGTGTGTGTCACAGGCACCTGTGGTCTCTGCAGGTTTCTGTCTGTTGTCCTGGGGTCCGCTGGCTGGCTGAGACTGTCCCTCTTCATGTGTATCTGCTGTGTTCTTCAGTCCTGTGTATGTGCCAATTTGTTTGTGTCAGTCGGTGTCAGCATCCAGAGTGCCTGCAGCGTGGTCAGCCAGTGTGTGCATGTGGTGGGGGTCTCGTCATGTTGGTGTGTGACCCCGCGCTGGGTGACCCTCCCACACTCATCTCCCTTCAAGTGAATGTGAGTCCGTGTGTCCGTCTGCCCTGCCGTGGTGTTGCATATCCTGGTAGGTCAAGTCCTAAGATGGTGGTAGCAGTGGTGACCTGTCCAGGTGTGTGGAGGGAGTAGGAGGTGTCCTAAGATGGGTGATTCTCTGGATGTGTATAGGAGGAAGGGATGGGCCACCTTCCTCCGTGTGCACCCCCAGGCTGCCTCCCTGATACCCACTATAGACCCTAGACCTTGTCCCCTTAGGCCCCACCCACTGGAAGGAGATAGCCCCTGCCTGTGGGGGCCCAGCCCAGTCCCCCATCAACATCGACCTTCACCTGGTCCAGCGGGACCCCACCCTTGGGCCTTTCATCTTCCAAGGCTACAACTCTGCACCCCCAGGCCGGTGGACCCTGGAGAATGATGGCCATACAGGTCAGCACCCTTAGGCCAGGACACCCAACAGGCAGGGGCAGGAACCCCACACAGAAGTTGGGAACCCTCACACACGCAAGGGTAAAGCCCCCGCCAGGGTTGGGATATCACACAGGGCTCAGGAACCCCTACAAATGTAAGTCAGGGACCTCCACAAACGGGTTCAGAACCTCCACACAAGGGTGAGAACTCCGCACAGGAATCAGAATCTCCACAAACAGGGCACAAGAACCTACACATACAGAGGTCAAGACCATGCCCCGCCCCCCACAGGCGACAGGAACCCCCAACAGGATCTGCTGTTGCCCCTGAGGAGCTAGAAACAGGATACACTCAGACACCAGAATCCCCCACAGGACCAGGATATCCCAGAGTTGTCACAATCCCCTACAGTCCCACATACCTAGGGGTCAGGGCCTCAACCACAGAAGGGCAGCCTTCTCTCTGGTCTTGCAGAGTGGGGGTTCCCACTGCAGTCTTTGGAGCTGGTGGGCTGACCAGCAAGGAGGCCTGAGCACACTGGGTGTGTCCTTCCAAGGAGACTGGGCCCATGGGGAAGCTGATTGACCTGATCTAACGGGAGAGACCTTTGCTCGCACCCCACGTCAGCCTCCTGGGCCCTAATGGCACACGGGCAGGCCGGTGGTGGGGAGAGAGTGGAGTGTCACGTGCTCCTTCACCCTCAGTGCTCCTGCACGTGGGCACTGACCCGCAGAGCCACCTGGAGATGCGCGGCGCGGGACTGCCGCCGCCCGCCTACCGCGCGCTGCAGCTGCACTTCCACTGGGGGGCGCCAGCGCGCGCAGGCTCGGAGCACAGCCTGGATGGGGAGCGCCGCCCCATGGAGGTGGGACCCGGAGTATGGGGGGTGCCCCACGGAAGTGTTGGGGAGCTAGTGGGGTAGCCGGGATACTTCTGACGTCTGTGCCTCCGCAGATGCACGTGGTCCACAAGAACACCCGATACCGGAGCCTGCAGGAGGCGCTGGGTCACCCCTACGGGCTCGCGGTGCTGGCCGTCCTGTTGGCGGTGAGGGATGGTCCGTGTACTCCGAGCGCTCCCAGACACAGCCAGTGGGGGTGGGGGAGCCGTGAGTGTGTAGGATTTCAAGAGTTCTGTGGGGCATGGGGCCAGTGTGCGGTCGTGGATCTGCAGGGTCAGCGCAGATGACCCTGCACATCGCCCAAATCCTCCTCGGAGCCTGCTCTCCCCCAGTTAGAGTTTCTCCCACACTCCCTCAGGGCTCCCCCTTTGGAAACGCCCCACTCAGAGCCCCTCTCACTTGGAGTTCTTTCCTCCCCGGCCCCCTCCTCCCCCCAGGAGCAGGACACTGACAACGTCAACTTTTCGGTCCTTGTGTCAGGCCTGAAGAACGTGTCTGGGCAGGGTGAGAGCCGCGGTCGCCTCTGGGATCGGGGGCGTCGCTGGGGAGGGGGCCCGGGGAGACCGGTTCCAAACCCCTCGCGGTCCGGCCTAGGGCTCTCGGCAGAACTGGCGTCTACCTTCCCTCTGGCCTCTGTGCCGCCAGGCGCCGCCGGCCTCGCGCGCTACTACCGCTACCCGGGGTCGCTGACCACGCCCGGCTGCGAGCCCGCAGTGCTCTGGACCGTCTTCGAGGACTCAGTGCCCATTGGGCGCCAGCAGGTGGGCTCCACCCCCGGGTCGCCGCCCTGCCCGGCTGTCCCCGCCGTTATGACCCGTCTTTGTCCCGCCCCACAGGTAGCCCAGTTCCAGACTGTGCTCCAGGCCTGGGCCCCGGGCTCGCGCCCCGTGCAGCTCACCGAAAACTTCCGCCCGCAGCAGCCCCTCGGGGGCCGCAGGGTCACGGCCTCCCCCAGCGCCTCGGCCCGCGCGGCCGCCCCACTCGCCGCCCCGGCCCACGTGCTCGCGGTTCCGCTGGGCCTGGGGATCAGCCAGCGGCTTCTGCAGGGGCTCTAGATCCAGGCCTCACCCCTCCGGCCGTCAACGATGCACAGAGTGACGTCGGCGGCCGGCGGCTGGGGGTGGGTCCTGGGCGCGCTGCCTCCTCCATGAAGGGAGAGAGTCCCACCCCATCCGTGTGCCGGTACATAGAATAGGGAGATCCCCGAGTAACCCTCCCCTGCCCCACCACAGCCAGCCTCAGACGCCCCTCTAGAACTGCCCACCTCCCCAGAGCCCTCCCAGGGGGAAGGCGCTCCACACCCAACAGACCCATTATGTCTGGATCTCCTGGTCAGATGGATGGAGAAAAGCTAGCAGGTCTTATAAACACCACCATTAGCCTAAAATTACACTTTAAACAATTTTTTAATAAGTTTTATTGTCTTTTCAGTGAAGATTTACACATACACATTTTATTCTAAAAAAGGTCTGGTTGACAGCGGGGGTGGGGGTGGGGTAAATGATGGCTACAGCCGGCCTTCCCCAGATGGCAGGTGTGGAGCTGCTGGTTCTAGGCGCCCAATCGCGCTGGGTCTGTAGGCCCAGGTGACAGCGAACTGAGGTGTATCCATGGTGGAGCCATGTCCAGGTGATACGCTCAGAAGCTGGGCGGTGGAGACGGAGTGTAGGGCGACACTTTCTGGAGAGAGGCTGGGTCCAGCCTGTGGTGAGGCTAAGTGAAGGGGTAGGTATCCTTGACGTCACAGCCCAAAGTGAAGCTGAGAGTCCAAGGGCCAGTGACCAGCTCTGTGTCCGGGGACGCTGTCCACTGAGCACATGGGTCCGGCTGGCAGTGGATGGTGCTGACCAGAGTCAGCTTGTGTGTCCGGTTGATGCCATGTGGAATGTGGCAGTATATTAGGGTGACGCTGTTCTGAGTGAGGCTGTGTTCAGGTAGCAATGTCCCTGGTGTCTGTTCTCGGGCTATGGGTGAAACTCTATTCCTGTCCATGGAGGACCTGCCTCCTCCCCAAAACCCTTAAAGAAAAGGAACTTGCAAGCCCTTGTCCTAGGCAAGGAGTCCCCCACAGGCCCTTGGGCTCTCGCCGCGACCTCCTAAGGCAGGCCCACCCCTCCCCCAGCCTGGACTCGGGCTCCAGCGGCAATCCCTGGCTGCACAGAGACATCTGCACTCCCCAGACACGATCGTGGGCGGGCCCCGGGCTCTGCCCGTCCCTGTCGCCCACCCCCTCCAATACCCGAGCCCTACTCACTCTCAGCCAGCCACGTTCCAAGAGGGAAATGTCCAATGTCCCCCTCCCCGGGGCACCCGAGCCCCCTCCCGCCAGCGCCAAGGCCTTCAGCACCTCATCCCGGGCTGCCCTCAGTCCTCGCCGCGCTGCGGACCCCCGGGCGGCACTGGCGTCTTTTTTAAGGGTTTCCGGGCCAGGCCCCGGGGCGCGCCGCCATCGGTGGGACCGTCGAGGGCGTCGTCTGCGGGTCGCGGGGCTGCCGGCGCGGCTAAAGCGTTCACGGTGCCGAGCGC